GCAAAGTTCTTAACCTGAGGTACTATTTCTGGGTTAGTGGAGTCTGTAACCTGAAGCATCTGTAACCCGAGGTACCACTGTACAGTCAGAGGTTGAGTCTGAGCCTCAAATACAAAACCACATGTTTGATTTCACTTTAGCTATTGCAACAAGACACACTGGCCAGCCGATGGAGTAGCAGCAGCAACTGCAGGAAGGAGGAGGAGGATAAGGAAGGGGGAGCAAGGGAACAGGACTGCCGCCGCCACTGTCCTTGCCATAGGAGGCTGTGCCTCTCCAGCCTGGTGGGCCCCTAGTTGCCCATTCAGCTGGCCATGCTGAATAAAAACAAGAAGGAGAAAATGAGCTAGGTCAGGCCTGAAGAGAAGGCGGCATCTGGAAGAGATCCTGGGCAGGCACTCCCCAGCAGTGATGCTGAGGTGGAATATAAAGTCCCTATTTTCACCTGAAAATGTTGGTGGGCATGCCCTTCCCCAATGATGTGGGGAGGGAGAGAAGCATTCTGCTGATCCTCATGAGGGAGGGGTCTTTTTTCAGATATGTGAGACAAACTAGATTTTCTCCAGAACAGCACTTCAGATAGAGGGTTTCCTGGTGTAAAACAGGTTACATGGCTGCCGTATTCTAGCCTAAGGTCCTACAACAGTGTAATTTTTTTTTCTGGGACCAAGCAGAATGCAGATAAATGGTCTAAGCAGAATATGATTGATTATAACTTGAATATCTAACTAGAACAATTTTAGGCCTATTAGAATCTTACATGGCAACCTGACATTAAAGCAGTGCTTTAAGGAAAACTGTTCTGTTTCAGAACTTTTCATCAGATAGGGAAATACAAAAACATACATATTAAAGTAGTAAATAACAAGAATATGCTGCTGGTTCCATGTACACCATGGAGTTATGTGCTTCTCAAGCAGCTGTCCCTTCATTCCACATGGTAAACAGATTTTGAAACACAAGAGAGGTTCATAAATATTTTTTTTATATGGCATTGAGGGGGGAAAGTAAGAGTCTGTTTGCAAATCATTAGGCCTACATTAGCTGCCTAGATTCTAGCCGCAATGGGCACCCAGTTTTCATTTCAACTCATGTAAGAGCTGCATCCATAAAAAGCTGTCTCCTGCACATAATACATATGCTAAGCAGCGTCCTAATGAACTGTACACCACAAACATTCTTGGACACATGAACTCTTCTCATTCACTATTTTATTGAGGGGAAAATCCATAAGAATGCCAGTCCCTCATAAAAGAGGGAATTTTCTGTTGCGGAAAATGAGCTTTGTTGGAAATGTCCATAGCCTCTCCCTGTTCTGCTAGAGTTACAGACAAAAAAACAGGTACCAACAGAGAGTTACCGACAAAAAAAAAACCACAACCCTGAGACTTTTACATCTATTCAAATAAAGAAGAAGAATGTAGGATCAGAATTGGAATTATTTCTTGTTGGTGAGCACTTTGCTATTATAACGAAACAAAAAGAATACGGCCCTCTCAGCAACAACAACATTAATACAACAATATAGATCATCCAACCAACAAAATGTAACCAATCATTCAGCCTATAGAAAACACACTTAATGCCTAATTTTTTTTTGTTCTGCTTTGACAATCTTGGAGACACCTCTAGATCTTAAAATTTCAGTGAGGGTGCCATTTCCTGTCTCCTCTTTTCATTGGTCTATTTCCCATTTATTTGTCTTTGATACAGCTCCTACCCTTTTGTTACTATTTCAGTTGGGAAATCACAGAGAAATCAAAATCTGAGCAGCAGTTGTAAAATTAGTATTTTCTTTTATTTTCCAAGAACATAAGATGAGCCTGCTGGATCAGCTCAATGGCCCATTTAGTCCAGAATCCTGTTTTCATAGTGCCTGACCACTTCACCTGCGGGAAGCATGCAAGTTGGATGTGAGTACAACAGCCCTCTGTCCACCTGTGATTCTCAGCCACTGGTATTCAGAGGAATAATATCTCCGACAAATATCTAGTACTATTACAGTGCAAGCCTGTGGATGATTGCTGAGAAGTTCCTAGTAGGCATATTTAAAATTATAGCCTTGAAATGTTTAATTGCGTCCTTCCTCTTAGCATCCCAGAAGAAGGCAAGAAGACACTGAAACACTGAACATACCACACTGTATAATGAAAAAATATTTTCCTTTAAACATCAATTTGAGGCTTTGTTCCCTTTTGGGGGGGGGGGTCAAGTATATAGGCTTTGTTGTTGTTGTTGTTTAGTCGTGTCCGACTCTTCGTGACCTCATGGACCAGAGCACGCCAGGCACTCCTGTCTTCCACCGCCTCCCGCAGTTTGGTCAGGCTCATGTTTGTAGCTTCGAGAACACTATCCAACCATCTCATCCTCTGTCGTCCCCTTCTCCTTGTGCCCTCCATCTTTCCCAACATCAGGGTCTTTTCCAGGGAGTATTCTCTTCTCATGAGGTGGCCAAAGTATTGGAGCCTCAACTTCACGATCTGTCCTTCCAGTGAGCACTCAGGTCTGATTTCCTTAAGAATGGATGCGTTTGATCTTCTTGCAGTCCATGGGACTCTCAAGAGTCTCCTCCAGCACCATAATTCAAAAGCATCAATTCTTCGGCGATCAGCCTTCTTTATGGTCCAGCTCTCACCATAAAGAATAGACGTGGCGGGCAACAATACGTAACGAAGGTGCCAGGCAAGCCTCTGTAACTGAGGCACTTTCACCCAGGGCAGGGAGCCAGTGAACCAAATTGGTACCATTGTATGCAAGGAGATGGGCTATAAACTATTTCTTCTGCCATGGTCCAAATCCAAATCATGAGCCCTGTGCCTGCTATATGCAATGGAAGGAAAGATCCCATTGGCACCAACAAGTCTATTCTGAGTAAAACCTAGTGGACTACAATCCTGATAGATTATTTAAGGCAAAAATGTTTGTTAGGGCATGGGTAGGCAAACCATGGCCCGGGGGGCCAGATCCAGCCCAATTGCCTTCTAAATCCGGCCCGCAGACGGTCCAGGAATCAGCGTGCTTTTTACATGAGTAGAATGTGTTCTTTTATTTAAAATGCATCTCTGGGTTATTTGTGGGGCCTGCCTGGTGTTTTTATAGAGCCAGTGCGGTGTAGTGGTTAAGAGCGGTAGTCTCGTAATCTGGGGAACCGGGTTCGCGTCTCCGCTCCTCCACATGCAGCTGCTGGGTGACCTTGGGCCAGTCACACTTCTTTGAAGTCTCTCAGCCCCACTCACCTCACAGAGTGTTTGTTGTGGGGGAGGAAGGGAAAGGAGAATGTTAGCCACTTTGAGATTCCTTAAAGGGAGTGAAAGGCGGGATATCAAATCCAAACTCCTCCTCCTCCTCCTCCTCTTCTTCTTCTTCTTCTTCTTCTTCTTCTTCTTCTTCTTCTTCTTCTTCTTCTTCTTCTTCTTCTTTACATGAGTAGAATGTGTCCTTTTATTTAAAATGCATCTCTGGGTTATTTGTGGGGCATAGGAATTCGTTCTTTTTTTTTTCTTTTCAAAATATGGTCCGGCCCCCACGAGGTCTGAGGGACAGTGAACCAGCCCCCTGCTGAAAAAGTTTGCTGGCCTGACCCCTGGTTTAGGGGGCTTCAGTCCATGAAAGCTTATTATATATATGCTACTATTCAAGGCAGAAAAGTCTCTGTTCTTTTCCACAATGCAGTAGAGAAACTGTGTTAAGATGGCCACACTGCCAGGGGGTGGGGAAACTTATTTCAATAATGAAACCCTAAAGACATAGAGAGAAGAAAGTACCTCACCCAAACTCTGTTTCCAGACAGATATACTAAAGAAACCAACTTCCTTCTATATTCAGCTTGGAAAAGCGCCGTATTTACAACTACATTGATAGCTGCAAGCCTCATTGAAAAATAAAATGGCATCCCTCATCAGAAGTGGCACAGCATAGTTTACAACTCACTCATGCTATAGCTGAATGAGTGAAATGTAAGGGGATATCTGCCAAGCTACTTGACACTTACAAGTCAGCTTAATCAGATACTCTTTCGCTTCCTGTGGCGAGGAGACCAATGTTCTGCTACTCACAGCGTATACCCAGAGTCTATTTACATATACTAAGAGAAGAAGACGTGATCATACAAGTCATGTTGCATCTGACTATGCTGCTGTGTCTAAAGCCACAAAATCTGACACAGTGCAGGAAGTGAAGAAGGCAACAAAAGAAATTTACTGAACACACAGGACCTGGGCAATGGAGATAAAGATGTTCTAGTGGCAGATGTCTACATTCCTAGCCTTCTTTTGTTACAATCTAGCCTGATTAAATTGCTGTGGCAGCGATTAAAAAGGATGTGCAAGCACACATTATGGGAACATGCTCACCACCAGAATCCACAAACTCCACAAACTCTAAAACAGGGTTCAAAAAGAGAGAATAAAGCAGGTTTATAAAACTTTAACAGTGCAAGGAAATATTGCTTGGAAAACAAATGGCTTGTGCCTAGCCTTTCGAACTGTCCATTCTCACAAAGTACAACTGAGCTGCTGAAGTCAGGCAAAGGATGGGCAGCAGAGAGAACAAAAACAACCTGAAGAGTACTGAGGAAGAGAGAATACTGAAAACTTCCCATTTCAATGGTCATTCACATGGAAGCGTTCTACATATCTTTTAGGATATTCTGGATAATTAGCATATAAATCCATTTTATTTACATGACCATTTAATGTTGATGTCATTGCTTTTATGGGAATAAGACTACCTAAAGTTCCCCCCAAAACATCTTTCTTTCTTTCTCTTTCTTTCTTTCTTTCTATCTTTCTTTTTGAAGCTTACAGGGCTGAAACAATAAGTAAAATCCACAGAAACACACAGTTCATCATTGCAGAAAAAGAGAAAGTGGAAATTCACGCAGCGGTACACAAATGAAGAGACTGGTGGAAAATAAAGAAATTTAAAAATACAAGCCAAGTAGGATATAGAGAAATGTTTAGGGATTCTACATGGTTATACAATGATAATGTATTACTTACTGAGAGTCTCTGATAAGAGGTGCATTCCCCAACTTAAAACAAGGCTTTCCAACTCCACATGAAGTCTGCCTCAAAGAAAAGCTTTGGGTTAAATCAAAACCTGAAAAATATGATAGAGTGGAATCATTTATTGTTCATTTAATGCAATTTAACAAGGCTGGAGAAAATTATCGATTTGTGCCATAAACTTGTCTGTTTTGCTAGACTAACAACTGACAGGCTATTTCAAATCCCACGGTTTTGGTCACAGAAATGTCCAGATCTCATTTTCTCCGTAGGAGGAATATTAGCGTGAAATTCCCCTAGCACTTGACTTGGCAACCTCTGAGGAATTCACTCGCTGTTTCCTTTTGCCATCTGAATGAATGAAAATAAAAGTGCTGCTTGTCAGAAATGAATGCTAACTCCGTGCTAATTATAACAAGCATGAATGGAAAAATAAAAGATGAATGTAAATGACTTAGCTAGGACTCTCAGAAATAAAATGTTTTGCGTTAATGAAAACACATTTCTAAGAATTAAATGCACTCTTTGCTGACATACTCATCTATTTATTTATTTTTGCTTAAGGAAAACTCACCTGAAACATCAAGGTTTTCTTGGTAGCTAAACTGATGTCCTTCTGTTTTCAATACTGGGCATGCAGTAGCTATAAAAAAATATAAAATGTCCTAAAGCTTTATAAAAAATATACAGATTGTAGTATTTTTCACTACAATAAAAGTAATATTAGCATTGTAAAAAATAACACGATGTTTAAATGCAAAACTGCTGTTGTTTATTTATACAGAGTGCCATTAATGAGCCTGACACTAGGAAAGCACTAGGGTCCATTTCGGAAGAAGCAGGCTCAGAGATGAATAATTTGGGTGTCTGTGTGCAATTATTAATACATGTTCACAGGGTTTAATTATATTAATCTTTGCTACCTCCGAGACTTTAGCACGTAGTGGAAGAAAGACTGAGATATGCATAGTACTGCACAGGTGGAACAGAATTTATTTATTTTGTGGGTTGTCCCTTCTTCAGATGCTTCTTCTGTTATAAAAATTGGCTTATTCAGATAATGTTTTGTCCTTGGCATATCTCTTTGTGAATTTTAACAGCTTTTGTGCATGTGTTTGCGTATACAGATATATTGTTTTCTTTGCTTTTAATTCAAGTAGTCTGAGGCTGCATTATACCTTTACATCACATTACTTGTGATGAACCGAACAAGGATTATTCCAAAATGTGTCAGGCATAAAATAATTTATTAAAATATCTGGATTTCCTTCCCCTCTCCCCCACTTTATTATATCCCATACACTTTATGGAGTAACAAGAAAACAACAGATCATTTTGAATACCACTGACACAATTAAATCTGCAAAACTGGGGAAATGAATTTAGTATCAACGTCATGGAAGAAAAAATGATACACAGTGGTACCTCGGGTTAAGTATTTAATTCATTCCGGAGGTCCGTACTTAACCTGAAACTGTTCTTAACCTGAAGCACCACTTTAGCTAATGGGGCTTCCTGCTGCTGCCGCACTGCCAGAGCCCAATTTCTGTTCTCATCCTGAAGCAAAGTTCTTAACCTGAAGGACTATTTCTGGGTTAGCGGAGTCTGTGACCTGAAGCATATGTAAGCTGAAGCGTATGTAACCCGAGGTACCACTGTACATTTTCAATAAGCTAAAAAGAATAAAAGAAAGCCCCTACAATAATATTCCTGTTCAGGGCTTAAGCCAATCTGGATCAAGAGCCTTGTGCTAGTCACGGGGTTCACAGGAGGAATGCTTCTGGAGTAAAGTGAGGAAGAATATCTTTAGATTTCCCATTCTCCTTGCTGTGCTAGACCAGTTTGGTGATTGGCTGCCAGCTGCAAACTTCAGCACTTTATTGCTAAATAGCAGACTTGAGTGGTTTGGGGTGAGAAAGGGAAACTACAAGGAACTCGCAACTTTTGTACATTTAACTTGTGCTCATTTATCGTACGCAAATGGCAAAAAATAAAATAAAAGGGGCAATAGGGTAGGGTGGGCATCCAGCAGGGGAAAAAACCTTTGGCAATTCCACCCACTGTTCTGATTATATGTGATTTTGGCTTTATGCACTACCCCCAGACCATAACCCCTATGTAAGTTGAGAGTTGCCTGTATACTCAATTATTTTATTAAATGATGCAATCTAAAGTGTGTTCCTAACACAATAAAATGTTGACTTGTAATGTCACTCAGTAAGACAAAGCACAAACATGGCCATGAAATAGCAAACAATTCAATTACAGTGGAGGATTAAGTACAGGCTTAGCTATCTCACTGAAATAAAAAGGAGCGAAAAACTGTTGAAATCTGAGTTAACATCAACAAATATTTAGTATTAATTTTAAATTGTGTTCTCCCCTTAAAAATATAGTAAAGCATTTGAAGTAAGAATAAAAGCAGCTAAGTGGATCACAGGAGAAATAGCCAAACATAATTTACTGTGAAGACAATTGCTGTCATAATGTTGTGTTAACATTCAACATTGCTTTTGGAGAAAACATTAAATAATATAATAAAGGTTTCTTACAAAAACTACCTCGTTAAGTTATTTCACAACAGGGGTTGTTTCAAATATGCTAACACTCTCCTATAATAGCGTTCCAACCTATGATTCGAATTCAGTTTGAAATAACTTCTTTTAAAAAAGGCAAAGTGTTCCAACATATAATGCTGATTCACAATTTGAAATCACTTTGTTTAATGATTAGCCTAACAAAACAGGCTACATTAAATTAACTTTTGAGGATTTAATGATCAGTATTCTACTATTATATAAAAACAATTCCTCAACATGTCAGTTTTCAAAGACCTTAACCCCTATATACATGAATCACAAAATCCAGGCTGGGGGCACTGATCCTACCCAGGCCTTTTAAGATCTCAGACTGCAATCCTATGCATGATCAATGGTCTTTCTTCCAAGTAAATATGCATAGGGACATGCAGTCAGTTTCCCCTGCCTATTCACATTCATAGTACTGATTCACACTTCTTATTTTGCAGCCAGATGACAGCACATTCCCCCCACCAACAGTTGAGTCACACACATGCAATTTTGATGTAAGAGCCAGGATCTCAGTGGCTGTGATTTGCAATTCTACAATGACATTACCACAGCAGCATGGTTTTGGCACTCACTCATAACACTGCTCTCACGTGTTGCTATGAGAGAGAAAAAAGTTGTTGAAGGTAATATGCTAGTCAATGCTTAAGAGGCATTATATATTAATTCTATAGATACTTCCATGTCTAGTCTGTGCACAGACTGACACTTACTAGCTGACATTACACCACCACAACAATTTTCAGCATCAAAATATTGCTTGAAGGAGCGGCCACCTGAGAACCATTTGAGTCAACTGCTGGCCTGCTAATTTAGCGCAGATGGAATCTGTATTGAATTTAAAATGTGAAGCCCCTACGAAAGAGTGCCAAAATAATATTAGCAGGGACTTTCCAAAGTGTCACAAGGTGCAAAGGGATGAGGTATAGCATAGCAGAATGTGATTAATGAATTCCAAAACCAAGAGAGGAAAAAGTTGCATTGAAAATGGCAAGTATTCCAGATGTTTCCACATTCTGGAGGTAACCAGAAATTAAACATCTAGAAGAGGTTGCTCTTTCCTGTTTTAAATTTGGGCTTCCCCCAAAAAACTTTTGGGGAAGACAGAATGCTGGAGGTTTTTATAGTGGGGGGAGAAGAAGAAGAAGAAGAAGAAGAAGAAGAGGGAGTCCTATTGCACAACACCGGATGTCACTTTCTGTTGTCAGGAAATTTTGGCTGGCTTTTTTTTTAATTCTTTAATGTTGGTTTAATTATTATGTTGTGAGTTCAGGGGTGTCCCCACTAAATTCCTGGGTGCAGTAGGAGTTAGAATTTAAGCAACGCTTGGAGTTGTAACCTGGGGGCCAGACATGCGATTTTAGCGAGTGTTAAAATATAAGACAGGCCAGCATAGCAAGTTCAGGAAATCGCCTGGAAGAAGAGCCATTGAGGAAAACAAAAGGAAATGATGGCCTATGAAGAAAAACCAAGGAGAGGGGACTCTATGGCATATGGCTCTTGGGAGGGGTCCCTCCCTCAGCTCTGGGATAGTTAGCAGAGATAAAGCAGAGTGGAGAATTTAGGACTGCAGTTGGGGATGATGTGGGCTAGAGGGAAATGTTCCAACCTGCAGGTGTCAGCAACGGGGGAGGGCAGCATGATTGTTTCCTCTTTGGAATCCGAGGCAGCAGATATGGCAGAAACAGGAACCTCCAGGGATGTCAATGCTGAAAGCCCCTCAATTGTAGGCTTGGGTTGTATATTTGTGTAAATAAACCATATATAATAAAGACATCACAGTCTCCACTGTGCCTCATTTCCAAAGGGAACACAAATCCCGGGTGAGCACCTAGACTCCCTGCAATCTCACACTGCTCTGAGATTGGGGTGGCATGTAATAATATCATATTATAATGCTGTTTTCTGTAAGCCACCTAGGAATTTTTACTGATGGGCAACCACATATATTTATTGGATTTATATGGCAAATACAATTTATATTAGTAAATAAAATGTTCATTACTCATGGGCTAATTTAATGCAGCCATTTCCAAGGGAATGGGGGAAACACTGAAGCAAACATTAATCAATGGCTCTGCTCTTGTGTTTACTTATATGAAGGGGTGTCACAAGTTTGAAGAAGATGTGATGTGATCAAGGTTCCAAGTTCTGGGAAAGCCTACGTACATAGGCTTCCCCTCTTCAGATGCATAAATAATTTTATTTGCATGGCACCATTCGATAGTTAAAACCAGTGCTTTTTAAAGAAATGTGGGTGCTGGTACTCTTACAAAGTAAGTGCAACGCTTTTAACATTTGGGAAAAATAAATCAAATATTACTCAGCCAAAATAAACAGTTGTCACCTAAATCATAATCAGATCTTAAGTACACAATAAATTAATATCAGAAACAGCAGCAACAACCCCCCCAACGAAACCCCCTAAACAATATCCCAGCCCAAGAACCTAATGCATGGATGGCAGAACAAGGAACGATGTGCATCACTGGGGCCAGAAGCATGGTTCCAGAGCTCTTTTAATCACATGATGCCACTTCACATGAGTAGCACATGAAGGAAACTAATGTCGAAGAATTATCCAATGACATTAGCATCCTCTTCTTTTTTATCTATGGAGTAGCCCACATTTAGAAACAAAAGGAAGGCCATGTCAGATTGTATCCTAGATATTATGAGATACGTAGCTTGATTTGCGTGCAAGTGTGTCAAAATTCCACAGAGAAGGTACACAATGAGAAGAAATCACTACATTGTTTAAGTTGAACTGAATCTTTTCAACATGCTCCCATGTTTCCATGGCCATCCTCTGCTCTGTTCATTGTGCAAGAACCTCTCTGCTTCCACTTATTAAGATTCCCTCCATACACTCTGTAAATGTTCTCTAAAGCCTGACACTGTGTTCATATAAATATGCTTTCATCCTTGAGCTCATCGTTTTAAAAAATGAACTCTAAATGAAAGAAAGATGATGCTACTGTCACTTGTTGTGCCCAAGTATCAGCCCATCTACTGTGAAATACTCTTTTGTCTAAGCCTCTCCCCGCATCTTGCT